CTCCCAGCTACTCCAGTGGCTGAGGCAGGAGAATTGCTTGAACCCAGGAGGCAGAGGCTGCAGTGAGCTGAGATTGTGCCACTGCCCCCCAGCCTGAGTGACAGAGTGAGATCCTGCCTCAAAAAAAGAAAAAAAAAAAAAAAAGAAGAAAAAAAAAAAAAGAGGGCTGGGCACAGTGGCTCACGCCTGTAATCCTCACAGTTCAGGATGCTGAAGCTGATGGATCACTTAAGGCCAGGAGTTCGAGACCAGCCTGGCCAACGTAGTAAAACCCCATCTCTACTAAAAATACAACAATTACCAGGGCATGATGGGCACATGCCTGTAGTTCCAGCTACTCAGAAGGCTGAGGCACAAGAATTGCTTGAACCCGGGAGGCAGAGGTTGCAGTGAGCTTAGATCCCAGCAGCGCACTGAAGCCTGGGTGACAGAGTAACACTCTGTCTCAAAAAAAAAAAAAAAAAAAAAAAAAAAAAAAAAAAAAGTAAACCAAGGCACAATAATATTTTAAAGGGCTTATTTGTGCAAACAGCAATTCATGAATTGGGCTGCTCTAAACCGCAAGTGTTTCCAGGGCTCTGTTGGAGAAGCTTGGAAGAGTGAATGCAGAAATAATGCAAAGAAAATAATTGATTACAGTTATAAAGTGGTTTTATTTGGTCTATCCTGTGGGAAAATCCCGAGTTATTTAATTATAAGTCTGTTGACTGCATCTGAACGGTTGAGCTGAAGTTTTGTTTTTCTTTAATACAGGCATTTACAAGAAATAGCTTAAGTGAAGTTTCACTTATGTTTGCAAATCAAGCAAGGTTAAGATCACTTAGGGAGACTGACTGACTTTGTCTCTTCAGGCATTCTTCAGCCTTTGTTTCCATTTTAATTTAGTTTAACAGGCAAAGCCCTGATTAAAATTTTTGAACAATTATTTGTAGAGAGCCTTTCTCTCACTTAACTTTGACCATCCTGCTGCCTTAAGATCAAGCATAAACTTGGCTCCTGTACTCTGCTACCATCCAGTGAGCATCTGCTGACCCTGCAGAGGGTGGCCCAGCATATTCCATCCCTGTGCATTTAACTCCCAGAATAATGGCTGCAGTCCAGACCTCCCTACTATTCAGTAGCATATACAAAACTCCTATATTCAGGCTGGGCACGGTGGCTCATGCCTCTAATCCCAGCACCTTGGGATGCTGAGGCAGGTGGATCACCTGAGGTCAGGAGTTCGAAACCAGCCTGGCCAACATAGCAAAACCCCGTCTCTACTAAAAATACAAAAATTATTCGGGCATGGTGGCACGTGCCTGTAATCCTGGCTGCTGGGGAGGCTGAGACAGGGGAATTGCTTGAACCAAGGAGGTGGAAGTGCAGTGAGCCAAGATCACACCAACGCACTCCAGCCTGGGCAACAGAGCAAGACTCCATCTCAAAACAAACAAACAAACACCTCCTGTATCCAACTGCCTACTCAGCCCCTTCACTTGGAGACGTAATACTCATCTCAAGCTTCCTATGTCCAAAAGTGAATTCTCCTTCTTCCCTTCCAAACCTGCTTTTCCTCCTACGTCTTCCACAGATCAGTAAATGGCAGCCCCACTTTTCCAGTTGCTGAACCCACAAATCTTGGTGTCATTCTTAACTCCTTCATATTCCATATTCAACAAATCTCACTGGCACCACCTTCTAGATAAGTCTAGAATCTGATGTCCTCTCACCAGCAGCACCCTTAGAAAGCCACATCATTTCCCAATTACCCTGTTAATTTCTCAATTAACTTCCTGACTGACACCTTGTTTCTACTCTTGCCTTTTAAAATTGAAGGCAGATTAGCCCAGGCGCTGTGGCTCATGCCTATAATCCCAGCACTTTGGGAGGCCAAAGTGGGTGGATCACCGGGGGTTGGGAGTTCGAAACCAGCTTGGCCAACATGGTGAAACCCTGTCTCTACTAAAAGTACAAAAATTAGCTGGGTGTGATGGCGGGTGCCTGTAATCCCAGCTACTTGAGAGGCTGAGGCACGAGAATCACTTGAACCCAGGAGGTGGAGGTTGCAGTGAGCCAGGATCGCACCACTGCACTCCAGCCTGGGTGACAGAGTGAGGCTTGGTCTCGAAAAATAAAGGAATAAACATTTTTAAAAAATTGAAGGCAGATTAAACCAGCCTTCTGTTCAAAACTCTCCAATGGCTTCCCATCTAATTTAAAGTAAAAACCAAAGCCCTTATCAATGGTCTCTGGGCTCAACATGGTCTGTCTGGTGACCTGTGTGTACTGTCTTTCTCTGAGCACTCCCTCACTCTGCTCCGGCCTCATGGGGTGCCTGGCTGTCTCTACAAAACCCCTGGCATGTGCTCACCTCAAGGCCTTAACACGTGCTCTTTTCTTTTCCAGAACAGTACTTGGCCCACATTTCCACATGGCTTACTCCCTCCTCTCCTTCTTGGCTCAAAATGTAACTTTACAGTGAGGCTTTTACTGGCCATCTGTCTCAGGTTGCATTCTCCAGCAGCAGATATGATGACAGAGGTTGGCTCAGAGGGTATTTATCAGGAATCAATGCCTGTGAAGGGAGGGGGAGGTAACAGGATTAGGCAGGAGAAGTCAGCTGCAGTACACGCCTTACAAAGCCTTGTCCAATCTAGGAGGGAGTTCTAGAGCAAGTGTTGCCCATCGGTCTATCTTAATGGTCAGGCTTTTATCTTCCTATCTTGTTCAGTTACTGAATGTGGGCTTCCCTGTGAAGGGAACAACTGAGACCCAATGGATCTCAGCATCTGGGGCAGTCCCTGAAGGAGCTGAAGGCTAGAGGCTCTCTGCTGATCACTCTTCTTCCCTGAAAGCAGATCTGTGCAGTGTATTCCTGAATCTATCACACCATCCTATTTAAAATCGCAACATTACCTGGAGTCCCTATCACCCTTCCCTGCTTTATTTTCTCCATAGCATTTAACATTTTCTAATATATTATATAATTTATTCTGTTTACTATCTGTTTCCTTCACAGGGATGTAAGTTCTAACAGCAGAGGTATTTTTGTCTCTCTTGAGCACTGCTGCATTTAGAATGGCACCTGGCTCACATCAGGCACTTGGGAAATGTTGGTTGATTAAACAAAGTTGTTCAGTAGCCTGTCTAGTCATTATACTGTACAGCCTCACAAGAATCATGCCTTATTAATCTCATCAGCATACAGCATATAGTAAGTGTGTGATATATGTCTGTTGAGTATATGAATAAATAAATTCATGAATGTTTGTTAATAACTTCATCATGAGAAAGTACAATGGTGGCTCATGCCTGTAATCCCAGCACTTTGGGAGGCTGAGGTGGGCAGATTATTTGAGGTCAGAAATTTGAGACCAGCCCGGCCAACATGGTGAAACCCTGTCTCTAGTAAAAATACAAAATTAGCCAGGGATGGTGGTAGGTGCTTGTAATCCCAGCTAGTTGGGAGGCTGAGACAGGAGAATCCCTTTAACCTGGGAGGCAGAGGTTGCAGTCAGCTGAGATCGCACCACTGCACTCCAGCCTGGGTGACAGAGCGAGTCTGTCTCAAAAAACAAAAACAAAAACAAAACAAAACAAAAACAAAAGTTCTAGTACATCACTGTACATAGAAGTACCATGTGATTCACATCTGTAATTTAAAGCTTTTATTAACTACCCTAAAAAAATAAGCAGATCATATTAATTTTAATAGTATCTAACTCAAAATATCCAAAATAGTATCATTTCAACATGTAATCATTGTAACAATTATTGATGAACTATAGTACATCTTTTTTGTTTTGTGCTAAGTCTCTAAAATCCAGTAGTATTTTGCACTTGTACTACATCTCAATTTGGACAAGCCACATTTCAGGTGCTCTATAGTCATGTGGATAGTACGGTTCTAATGCAATTCTGCAATTCACGTGTCAGAATAATATAGTGGGGTCAGACTTTTGGAGTCATTGACTTCCTGAGTCCAAATCTTGGCTCTTGAACTTACTAGTTGTCAATGACCTCTAGCCAAAAACCACCAGGAACAAATGGGGTTGATTGCTGGTTGGAGGGAGAAGACACACCATTGGGAATGGTGAGGTGTCTGGGTAAAGTACAGTTTTATTAAAGGATTTGTGTTGGTGTTAGGTGACCTGGGAGGGCTTAAGGAAGAGAGGTTCTCCTCTGGACTGGATGTTGTCAGGAAATGGGTATAACTCTAAGGTTGCATATCTTAATAAATCTTATGTAAATAGAGGAAGACTAGATAGCGGTTAACATTATAATTAATAAAGAAATACGAGTCACTCATATGAGCCAGGATAGGGGGATGTTTGGTAATTTGTGGCTTGTACATCGCTCATATTTTGGCCGTGTTTAGATGTGATTATGGAGTGGCTTCGTCTGATGTTTATGTTCCACAGGAAGTAAGCACCTCCTAGCAACACGAAAGCTCAGCTGATAGTACCAGGCAGCTCCTGGAGATCAAGGGCTGCTTTTCTTCCTCTCATAGCTATGCAATCTTAAGGTAGTGATCAAACTTATCTGGTTGTTTTCTCATCTCTAAAATGGGAATACAAGAGCATCAATTTCTTCATCTCTTAAGATTATCAGTATTAAATGAGATCCAAAGACACTGAGTTAATGCCTGGTATATGGTTACCACTCAATGAGTGCCATCTATTGTAGTTCAAAGATTCTAAGATGCACTATATTTTTTCACATTTTAACATTTCTGAAAGTGTGTGTCTTTCAAACAATGGCTTCTTCGAATGGATGAAATGTAGTATTGTTATTTCTGAAATCTCTGGTTTGGTTGGCCAATTCCTTGTCCCCTCCAGGTGCTCAATTTATTCCTGGGAAAATGGCTTTACTTTTAAACCTTCCTTACTTTCCCCATTTCTCCGCAGGCGCCCTCTGGGGTCCTCTCCCAGCCACAGACTTTTAGTTTGCGCGGCATCCCCAGGCAATACGGGCGGGTGGCGGCAGCACTCGGGGGCTTACGGCGGCGCGGCGCCCACGAGGCTCCAGCAGCAGAAGGGAAACCGGAGCGTCCGCGCCCGCCCAGTCGTCAGCTGATGGGCGGCTTGCCGAGTAGGCAGCCGCCGTCGCCGCGCGAACATGGCGGCGGAGATCCACTCCAGGCCGCAGAGCAGCCGCCCGGTGCTGCTGAGCAAGATCGAGGGGCACCAGGACGCCGTCACGGCCGCGCTGCTCATCCCCAAGGAGGACGGCGTGATCACGGCCAGCGAGGACAGGTAGGCCCCGGGCGCAGCCGGGGCGGCCCGAACTCCGCGGCGACGGGGTGTGGGGGCGGTGGGGTCCGCGGCCCCGGTCCTTCCTGCGTGAGGGGGTTCCCCCCGGCAGCGCGGCCCCACACCCACTCTGTGCCTCTTAGCTCCGCCGGGTTCCTAGTTCCCTCCCGCCGGTCCTCCAGTCTCGACTTGCACCTTTCCAGCCTGGGACCCCGGTCCCGCCGCGCCCCTCCAGCCCGGATCCCCTGTCCCACTGCACTCCTCTAGGCCGGGAACTCTGTCTCACCTCACCACCCAAGCCCGGGACCCCTGTTCCAGTGCGCGCTCCCGCGCCCCTCCCAGCCCACCTCGCACCTCCAGCCCAGGACCCCTGTTCCAGTGCGCCCCAACGCGCCCCTCCAGTCCGGGACCCTTGTCCCACTGCGCTCCTCCAGCCCGGGAGCTCTGTCCCACCGCGCCCCTCTAGCCGGGATCCCCTGTCCCACTGCACCCCTCCAGCCCAGGAAGTCTGTCCCACCGCGCCGCTCAAGCCCGGGACCCCTGTTCCAGTGCGCCCCAACGCACCCATTCAGCCCGGGAACTCTGTCCCACCGCGCTCCTCCAACCAGGGAACCCCGACCGGCGGTGTCGCAGTAGCCTGGGACCTTCGTCCCGGTCTCTCTCCCTTGCGGGGTTTAGCCTGGTACTCGGAAGCTGTTTCTTGGCCCTCCCGGTCAGTTCCAAATCGTCTCCTCTGGAAGCCTGGAGGACCGGCGGCTGGTCACCGCGGGCACTGGTGCCCGGGTGTGCTGCTTTGCGAGGAACCTCCAGCCACCTTCGCTCTCTTCCTTCTCGTGTACTCAGGGATTTCACGCCACGCCAGCCCTTTAGATCAGTTATTTTTGCCATGGCTGCTAGAATACCTGAACTCTTATTTACTAAATAGGTTTTTGTGAAAGTGACTCATTTTTTAAAAGATTTAGATGCGTTTATTTTAAAAGGAAATTTTATTTATATCATTAGGAAAACATTACTCGCCAGAGTAAACTAATAACTAAAACGTGTTAATTGGCGTGCACACAGAGTCCTCTCTTGTACTGTGACATGGGGCATTGGATGCCCACCGCGCTTTGGGGAACACTGATTGGGTCCAGTTGTCTCATTTCTCCTAAGAGGACACCGAGGCTGGTGGAGGTGTAGCTTGTCGCTAAGTCACAGAGATACTGGTGAAGCCAGAAATGCAGTCCAGGACTCCCACCAGCTCTGGGCCTCAGTGATTGGATTGGAACATTATTTATGATTCGACTTTAAACTTTGCGTCTTTCAAATCCTAAAGGTTTACAATGTCAGTAGCTTTCCGGTGGGAATTTGAAGGAAATGACTGATGTTTATTGAATGAAACTGTGTTTCCTTGATGCAATGAGCCGTCTTAAATAGGGATAGTCCACAAGTCCAAAGGCTTTCTGGAGGATGGAAGGTAGTGCTGTTCTTTTAAAGCTCAAGGCGTAGTCTCTAGCCTTGTGTAATTATACCATTTGAAGTAACTTTGACCCTGTCCTGAATGGGAAGAGAAAGCCTGAAGCCCCCAACTCCTGTTGGTGCTTTGGATTTTGCTTTTGAGTGAGCTTGTGCCTTTTTCCTCAATTAGATAACAAGCTGGTTATGAGCAGGCAGTGGCCTCTCCTTGCTGGTTCACCTGTAGCTGACTTCAAACAAAGAGGGTAGTGATTGGTAGGACCTGGATGTGGGTGTGTAATGCAGAAATGAGTGAGAGAGATTGAGTGCATGAAACATGGGGAGAATTTGGGGACCTGAAAAAGGCAAGGGCAGAATAATGACCTTTTTTTTTTTTTGAGATGTTGTCTTGCTCTGTCACCAAGGCTAGAGTGCAGTGGTGTGATCGGGCTCACTGCAACTTCCGCCTCTCAGGTTCAAGCGATTCTCCTGCCTCAGCCTCCTGAGTAGCTGGGACTACAGGCACTCAACACCACGCCCAGCTAATTTTTCTAGTTTTGGTAAAGACAGGGTTTCTCCATGTTGGTCAGGCTGGTCTCAAACTCCTGACCTCAGGTGATCCACACGCCTCCGCCTCCCAAAGTGCTGGGATTACAGGCATGAGCCACTGGCGCCTGGCCAGAATAATGACTCTTGCATGATGTGAATGTAGATGCAAACAGTCTTTAAAAGTTAGCAGCCTTTATTCAGTCAAATATTTTATTCATGACTCATGCGTGTTGGGTAAGTTGCTGAATATTTGAGATTGCTGGTCAGGAGCAGTGCTGATAAATGTTTTTGGAAAGTGATTACTAAGCTGCTCTGGGACTGAAACGTTCTAGGGGAGCTTGCATCTGCTCGCTTTGTCACTCACGCACTGTTGTTATTGCAGAGCCCAGGTAGATGACTGGACCGGGAGGGGGTTGGCGTTTGAGGTTTCTGTTGTGTTCAGGCTCTTGCAACTTCCTTGAAGGGAGAACAACCATTTTAGTAGGTGCTACACTTCATGAGATGTAATGAAAGCACGTGGGCGTGGGTTTTTTCTTGGTGTTGGCCATGGTGGTTTGTTTTCACATTGTCATAAATACGTCTCATGCTCTTCTCTCATTTACTCATTCATTTAGAAAAAGTTTTTTGAGTGTCAGGCGCTGAGGATACAACAGGGGTCAAAAGCCACAGTACCTTGGCCAGGCAAGGCAGCTCACGCCTGTAATCCCAGCACATGTGTGGGGCCCATGCTAGACCTGTTGGGGAAAGAGACAGCTGACAGCTAAGTTGCTCTTTCCCAAGGGCTGAACAATCTCGTGAAGAGATGGCACCTAAGTAGTCAGCATCCGGTGCTGGGAAGACATAGGAAGAGGAGGCTCTTTGGGCTGGGGCCAGGTTATGGGGACAGCCTCCTAGAGAAGGTCTTTGAGCTGGTCTCCATGGATAGAGGAGTGGCATCTAGAAAAAAGGAGGGATGCACCCCTATCCCAGGCAGAGGAAGGAGGAAAGGACAGGAGGGAATTGTAAGAGAAAGAACCATAGCTATTTCCAGGTGACCAGAGCAAAAGGTGTGCAGTGACAATCACTTGAACCCGGCAGGCGGAGGTTGCAGTGAGCTGAGATCACGCCGCTGCACGCCAGCCTGGGCAACAAGAACAAAACTTTGTCTGAAAAAGTTTTTATTTTTTAGAGACAGGGTATTGCTCTGTTGTCCAGGCTGAGCGCAGTGGTACGATCGTAGCTCACTGCAGCCCGAACCCCTGGACTCAGCATCCAGTGCTGGGAAGACACAGGAAGAGGAGGCTGCTTCAGCCCCTCAAAATGCTGAGATTACAGGTGTGAGCCACCATGCCTGGCCAGCATCCAGTTTTGGAAAGGTCTTCCTGTGTGCCACTCTTAGGAATTTGGACCTTATTTTTCAGGCAGTGCAGAACCATCAGAGTTCAAAACAAGCAAATGACATGATCGGAATTTGTAATTTAGAAATAACAATAGCTAACCTGTTGAAAGTCCCTTTATGAGTACAGAATTGGACCTTACGTGTTATTGGATTCAATCCTCACACTCCCTCCCTATAAGGTAGATATAGTCCCCTTCTCTTATCAGCCGTTCCAAAATTTAGTGCATTCTAAACGTCAGAAGTGTGTATATGTGTGTGTAAATTGGACCTGCAAACTCGTTTGGTGCTAAAATTTGGCCTGAACAAATGAGACTATATGTAATCTTTATTTACTTCATGCATCACAGTGGTGTGATCTCGGCTCACTGCAACCTCCGCCTCCCAGGTTCAAGCGATTCTCCTGCTTCAGCCTCCTGAGTAACTGGGATTACAGGCACTCGCCACCACAGTCAGCTAACTTGTGTCTTTTTAGTAAATACAGGGTTTCACCGTCTTGGCCAGGCTCATCTTGAACTCCTAACCTCGTGATCCACCCACCTCGGCCTCCCAAAGTGCTGAGATTACAGGCACAAGCCAGTAGCTTTTTACATTTAAAGTAGGGTCCAGCTGAAGTGAATTCATTTTACAAATACTGAAAGCAGTGAGAACTAGCTGAGAGCATTTTGAGAGGAAAAGTAAAAGGTATGAAGGTCTTCCTGAAGTTAGTGTCTGCTTTTGTAAAATCTAGGCCAGTGGTTCTGGGCCAGGGGTGGTTTTTACCCTCAGGGGACATTTGGAAATATCTGGAGACATTTTTAGTTGTCATGACATCAGGGAGGTGATATGGTTTGGCTGTGTCCCCACCCAAATCTTATCTTGAATTGTAGCTTCCATAATTCCCATGTGTTGTGGAAGGGACCCAGTGGGAGATAATTGAATCATGAGGGCAGTTTCCCCCATACTGTTCTCGTGGCAATGAATAAGTCTCAGGAGATCTGATGGTTTTACAAGGGAAAACCCCTTTCACTTGGTTCCCATTTTTCTCTTGTTGGCCACCGTGTAAGACATGCCTTCTGCCTTCCACTGTGATTGTGCGGCCTCCCTAGCCACAGGGAACTGTGAGTTCGTTGAATCTCATTTTGTTTATGATTACCCAGTTTCTGGTATGTCTTTACTAGCAGTGTGAAAATGGACTAATACTATATGTGACTAATACTGTCATCTAGGTAGAGGGTAGGGATGCCTCTCAGTATCCTTTTATACCCCACACCAAAGGATTATTGAGCCCCAAATGTCAATAATGCTGATATTGAGAAACCCCAGCCCAGGCTTCAGGTACTTGTTTATCTGGCCTCTCTAGAACACTGGTTCTTTAACTTGAGTGTGCATCAGAATCACCTGGAGGTCCTGTTGAAACTCGGGTTGCTGGAGTTAGACCCCAGAGTTTCTAATTTGGAAAGTCAGGTGGGGCCTGAGAGTTGGTATTTCTGCCAAGTTTCCAGGTAATGTTGATGCTGACGCTGCTAGTCTAGGGACCACACTTAGAACCACATCTCTATGAGAAAGGAGGGTTATTTGTCACTGGGCTTGCCTATGTACAACCACCAAGAAAGAATACTGAATACAAAAATTAGCCAGGCATGGTAGTGTGCACCTGTAATCC